CAATGATTTCCACAGTGGTTATACCAGTCTACACTCCTGCCAACAGTGAAGAAGGATTCCTTTCTCCCCTCATGCCATCCAGCATTTATTATTGGTTGATTTCTTGATGATAGCAGTTCTGTCTGAGTTGAGGTGAAATCCAGCGTTTTTTAATTTGCATCTCTCAAATGAACAGTGGCATTGAACATTTTTTCATATATTTATTTTCTGTTTGAATTTCTTCATGTGAAAAGTATGTAATCATCTCAGATGGCCATTTTTCTATTGGTTCTTTAAATCTGGAAGGGGCCAGGGATATAGGTCAGTGGTACAATGCCAGCCTAGCAAGCATGAGGTTGTGAGTGCAATTCCCAGTAACACAATAAAAAAAAAAAAAAATTAAAAAAGGGGGGGCACCAGCCAGATATCTCAGTGAACTCATGCGCCTGCTTAGGCAGAGCACAGCAGCTGGGGTTCCATTCCCAGTATGCCTTGCCAGCCCAGCCCCCAGGATGCCCTGAGACAACCATTGAGGCTGGGCATGGTGGTGTGCACAATCCCAGTGTTTGAGAGGCTAAAAACAGGAAGATCACTACAAGTCCAATCTACCTACTGAGACCCTGTAGACCCTGTACCAAATACATAATATATATAAAATTTTCAAAAATTCAGGGGGCCTGACTTTTTGGGTTTTGTTTTTGTATTTTTAGGAAAGGGTCTACAGGGTGTTCAGGGTCTCACTACTACTTGATCAGACTCTCAGTGATCCACCTGTTTAGAGCCTCCCAAGAGCTGGGATTACATTTGCGTGCCACCACACCCAGTCTCTGAGTTCTTTATGTTCTCCATAGTAATCCTTTGTCTGAGAAACACCTAGAAAAAAAAAAAATTTTTTTTGACACTGTGGGTTGGAACTTTATTCTGTTGGTAGTTTCCCTTGGTTTACAATTCTTTTTTTAATTTGTTGTCTTTTATCGTCTTGCTTCAAAGTTCAGACTGGCCTTAAGCTTACTTTGTAGCCCAGGCTGGTCTCAAACTCACAATGATCCTCCTGTGTCAGCCTCCCAGTGCAGGGATTACAGGAGTATGCTACCACACCCGGCTGCAATCCATTTTAATAAGATCCCAGTTGTTGATTCTTTGTGAAACTTTACGTGTATTAGAATTTTTTTCATTAAAATCTTTGCCTATGCTGATATCTTCAGGAGTTCTACCCATTGTATCTTCCAGCAGATTTAATGTTTGTGTTTTAATATTGGACATTTGATCCATTTTGATTTTAGTTTAGTGCACAGTGAAAGATATGGGTCTACTTTTATTTTTTGGCAGAACGAGGGATTGAACTCAGACCCTTGCGCTTGCCAGGCAAGCACTTACTCTACTGAGCCATCTCCCCAGCCCAATGGGTCTCCCTTTAATCTTGTCTTTGTGGAAAGCCAGTTTTTCTAGCAGCATCTACGAAAGAGGCTATCTTTTTCCACTGAATGTTTGGCACCTTTGTCAAAGATAAAATGTCTAAGTAGGGTTGCAGTTTGTGCATCTTCTAATCGGTTGTTGATCCCAGGCCTGGTTTATTGCCAAAGTCAGATTGTGATGCTCCCTGCCTTGCCTTTGTTGCCTAGAATTACTCTTGCTAAGTCTCTGCTGGGTGCAAATAAATTTAGGATTGTTTTCTCTAATTCTGTGATATATGCCATTGAAATTTTGACTGGAATTGCATTAAATCTACATAACAACTTTGGACGTATGACCATCAAATGAGTATTTCACACAAAATTAAGTTTTAAAACCTGGGCTAGCCCAGATGAAGAAGTTAAACTGGAGAAGTGAAAACTCGGTCATTCAAAAAAAACCAAAAAAGGCCTCAACTGAGCAGGGTAATGAATGTCTCAAATGGCAGTGCTTGAGGTCAACCTAGACCACACAGTGAGTTCAAGACCAGACTCAATTACACCATAGCACCTTGCCTCAAAAGCTTAAAAATTCTGGCCAAGGGCCAGCCACATAGCTCAGTGGACCAGGTATGATCTCCAGAGTACCCTGCTGGCCACGCCCCTGGGGCATACTGAGAGGGCAACTGAGACTGGGCATGGTGGCCTGCGCCTGTAATCCCAGCACTTGGGAGGCTGAAAACAGGAGGATCACTAGAGGCCAATCTGTGTATGAGACCCTGTAGACCCTTACTAAAAAAAAAAAATTGGCCAGGCGTGGTGGCCTATGCCTGTATCCCAGCCCTCAGCTAGCTGAGGTAGGAGAACCACTGTGAGCTCAGGGTCAGCCTGAACTACATAGTTCAAGACCAATGTAAACTACACAAGGAGACCCTGTCTCGAAAAACAAACACTGTTGGGAGCCCTGAAGCTGCAAATTGATCCTATGTGGGAGGGCAAGATGAGGCCTCATTGCCTAAACCAGTCAAGCTACCTCAGTCTTGAGAAAAACATCCTGCCGGGACATTTTTGCCTATTACTTGCTAGGCAACTTGTATATCCTGATACTAACTTTGCAAAGGTATAAACGCCCCTACTGTTCTTCAGGGGTCTTTTGCCAATCCTGCATGGGCCACCAGCTGACCTCAGCTATTATCTCTTGTGGGGTTTTTTTTTTCCCCCTTGTGTTTGTATTTTCTAAATCATTTTACCATTTTCTCCCGGGGACCACCACTAGACCAACAAATCTCTTACAAAACAAACAATTAAAAGACTTCAAAGGATATGTATTAAACTACACACACACACACAAGAAAAAAAAAACAAAAAACCCTATGCACCATAATTATTTTATTGCTGAGGACTGAACCTCCAGTTTGCTAGGCAAGGGTTCTACCGCTGACATAATCCCCAGCCCCTGCACACCATGCTAACAGGAAGATTCAGGGCCGAAAAGACAGCTCATTGGATTTAGGCAAGTTCAGGAACCAGCGTTCCATTCCTGGTACCACACGTTGTGCTAGCCCTGGTCACCCCCTCACCCCTCCCCACTCCCCCACCCCTCCCCACGCTCCCACCCCCCACCTCAACACCCCCACCCCCACCCCAGCGTGGTGCTGAGTAGGTCACCAAGAGTGGGCGTGGTGCTGCATGCCTGTAATCCCAGCGCTGGGGAGGCTGAAAACAGGAGGCTCACTAGGAGTCAGAGCATTAGCGAGACCCTGTACCAAATATATACATACATACATACATACATAATTTTTTAAAAATCGAACGAAGATACATACTATTATATAGTATCACATTTGATTTCATTCAACATTTGCCTTTTCCTCCTTCTCCCTTCCACCCCTCCCTCTTCTTCTCCATCTTCTTTGCTAGGCAAATGCTTTTTCCACTGAGTTACATCCCCAGGCTATTTTTATTTTTAATCAACTAATTATTTTTTAAATTCTGCATGAAATTAGAAAACAATGGTGATGAAAACCAGACCCTATTTGGGGTGGCACAGAAGGGACTCTCATACCTGTAATCCATAGGAATAGGGTAGTCATCAGTTCCCTCACCCAAAGGCCTGGGATTTCCTTTTCCTTTCCTCCGCCCAGGGCCAGAGCCCGAGCAATGTTAGGTTGGGGCTGAGGAGCTAGGGGTCCAGCAGGGGCCCTGACCTTCGGCAGGTGTGCTGCAGCAAGCACACAGAGCCCTCTGTCAGAACCTGAGCCGTGTGAGGAGTTGATTTCCCTAAAGCAACACCCCAAGATTCGGGATTAAATGCAGAGTTGGCACTTGGCAATAAATAAGTGTGTTTGGGTGGCAGTGTGGGCACTTGTCTTGAAGAGGTTCACCATCACTGGTGTACAAGAATGGCAGGCAAACATGTCCTCTGATGCCTCAGACTCAGTTTTAGGGTTTAGAGCACGTAGTCTGTGATGCAGCCACTCTGCCATTTTGCTTGAAAGCACTTGTGGACAATATAGAAATGGAGCAGCCAAGCATGTCGGCACACTCCTGTAATGCCAGTGCTTGGGAGGCTGAGGCGGGAGGAGCACAGTGAGGTCAAGGCCAGCCTGGATTACACAGAAAAACTCTGCCTCAAGAATAATTACAGGGCTGGTGAGATAGCTCAGTGGTCTAAAGTGCCTCCTTAGGCAAGCTTAGGCAAAGCTCAGGGACCACAGTTCAACCCCCCATGCCAGCCAGCCGTGCTCCCAGGGTGGGCTGAGTTGGCCACAAAAATAAATACAAGAAATAAAATAAAATAAAAAGAATAAATACATAGGGCCAGGGAGATGGCACATAAAACGGCGTGGTGGCGCTTGCTTGTAATCCCGCACTCAGGATTACAAATTCAGGTTGAACTGTAGAGTGAGACCCTGTCTCAAAAACACAAAAAGTAAAAAATAAATAAATAAAAGCAAACAAGCGGGCTGGTGAGATGGCTCAGTGGTCTAAAGCACCTACTTAGAACAAGCTTAGCAAAGCACATGGACCATGGTTCAATCCCCCAGCACCACGTGCCAGCCAGCCCTGCCCCCTGGTGGGCTGAGCTGGCCACACACACACACACACACACACACACAAAATTAAAAAAAAAGCAAACACGCAAGCCATGGTCATTGCATCGGACATTCATTTAGAGTCGAGCTGCTGGACCTTGGTCCAGAGCAGCAGCACTGGCTTCTGGCTGCACCAGAAGGCCTGGGAAAGCCACAAATGCCCAGCCCCACTCACCATATTCTGGGAGGGGGCCACAGAATTATTTTTCTTGAGATGCATTCTTCCTCTGTTGTGGATGCTGGACCCCAAGCCCTGGACTCAAGTCATCTTCCTGCCTCCACCTCCAAAAGTGTGTGTCCCCAGGAGTGTTAAAATCCTCGCCACTGCCTCAGTCCAACAGTTTTTCTTCCACTTTGAAACTTGTAAGCAAATGCAACAGGCACCCCAGGCTGAGAACACCTCTTCTGAAATTGCAATCTCTGCACACTACTCGCATCTGGACAGTGGAGTGGGGCACAGGAACACTGTGAGAAATATTCTAGGGCTGAGTGCAGGTCTAGAGCGAAAGAAGAACTATTTTCAATCCACCTGAAATTAAGTACTTCCAGTGCTTTAATTAAGTGCTCTTTATTTGACACTCAGATGTAAGGTACTATAAGGAGCTGCCCAGCCCAGGGCACAGCCAGCAAGCCTCCTCTGCAGGTGGCCAGGGGAGAAGCCATCAGCAACCAGCTGCCGCCTACCCAGCCTTCTCCATCCATTCCTGATAGGCCCCAGCATAGTTTCGAGCCCTGTGGAGGCAAAGGAGGGTGAGGGCGGACAGCCCGGCTGGCGAGAGGGCCCCAGGCACCCCGACCAGCACCGCTGTACCCCGTGTAGCCCAGGCTCTGGGCCAGCTGTATGGCCTGGAGGCCTCGCCTGCCCATCTGACAAAAGACAAGATTCTCATCGTCCAGCTTGGGCTTCTCAGCACAGTACACAGCCTGGAACGCAGCGGGCTCCATCTGCAGGGCGCTTTCCAACTCGGACACTGGGACAGGGCCCAGGAGGTGAAAGGTGAACACAGCCAGCCATGGCAACCCTGGCACTCCCAGGTTAGGGGCTGGGCCGGCCAGAGCTGGGGCTGGCGGTGCAATGCATCTCCAGGGACCCCAAACGACAGATGGTGGTCACCTCCCCGCATCCTAATCTCCAGGGCAAAAGCAGCCAGGCTGTGCAGGAAGTCAGCAAACCAGCTTTGAACGCGAGTCGCCTCCCCGGTGGGCCGCTAGGAGGCTGCGGAGCACCCGGTGGACGGGCCTGGAGGAGGTCAAGTGGCGTGGCTGCCCCCTGCTCCCCGCAAACCAGACAGGCCTGTTGTGCTGCAGGACCTCCCTCTAGCCAGCCCTTCGTGGGGAAGCTGAGCGCCAGCCACGGGAACAGAGGAAATACAACCCTCCTGGCCCCCATCGCCACCCGAAGTCGGGGACCCCTTAGCCAAGACCTTCTTCGACTGACTGTGCCCCAACACCGTGCGCCCTCCGGACCCCATACCCGGGATGTTGAGTGCCCCGGGGATGGTCCCGGCCGCCTCCTCCTCCCGAGACCGCACATTGAAGAGCCAAGAGCCGGGCCCGGCCGGAAGCCAGAAGCGACCTGAGCTCAGGGAGTGAGACTGTGGACCCTGAAGAGGGGGAGCGAGCCTTCATGAGAAGGGGCTGCGGAGCTCCTGCGCCAGGTGGGGGTGAGGGAGCGCCATGGCCACGCCTCCCGCTCCTCCTCCACCCCGCCTCAGCGTGCTGGCACTCAGGGGCCCAGGTCCCCTAGGAGGTACCTGCAGCCATAATGTGAGTAGCGATTCCAGAGATCAGGAGCCGCAGGAACGAGGCAGGCCGCCTCCCTGGCGCCCACACCATTGCCCACTCCTCCCCAGGAGCAGACAGGAACCGGAAGCAAAGGCAAGACCTCCGCCCCGTTCCACTGCACCTGTTCCCGGAGGCGCTCAGGGGCCACCTGAGGGATCCTTGGAGTTAATTGCCCGTAAGGCCGGTCACCCAGGTCTGCCAAGGGTATAGGGACTGGAGTTCAGGGGCTGCACCCTACCCTAACAGCAGTGCTTACTGGCCAAGTCACTGTGTTCCTCCCTCCGACCCTAGAGCCCAGATGAGGAAAATGAGACAAAACAGACAACCTTGGCTCTTAATACTTTTACCTTTGAAAAGGGGGGGAAAAAAAGGAAGGGAAGGAAAGGAAAAAAAAAAAAAAAAAATCAAGAACCACTCCCACAAGGGGAAAGGTCCGGAAGTGAGCCCCTGCCTGTTCTCCCTGGCTTCAGACTTTCTGCGTAGGCCCCTGCTGCTCATGCAGCCTCTTCTTTGTGGGGCAGCAGACACTGCTAAGCATCTGCCCCATTTCTTCATCAAGCCTGTTCCCCAGCAGCCAGGTGCACACTGGAACCTCAGCTCCAGAAAAAGGAAGAACCAGTGGAAGCGCCAGAGTCCTGGGCTGAGCAGGGCATGCCCTGTCAGCAGACCCTCTGTCGGGCACTCTAAGCAAGCACAGGGCAAGCCCCTCAGTTTAGTGTGTCCCATATCCGGCATGGAGACAGCACATGCATTGTGCAGGAAGAGCACAAGAGCCCAGGGGCTGCATGGTGCGGGCGGGCAGGGATGCCTGTGCACATCCACACTGCGTGTTTCACACACTGCAGGTTGCCACACCACGGAGCCTCAGGTCAGACACGCCTTCGGAACTTCCCCTAGTCCCAGGCCAGAGGTGGGCAGTGAAGGAAAGGGGATGGGATCAGCCTGCTGCTCCTGGGTGATCTGCAGTCCTCAGGCCCAAAGCCCCGGAGTCCCCAGAGTTAGTTGCTGTCGTTCTTGATTACAACCTCTAATCCGTGGTGCCGCAACTGAGCTCGCAGCAGCAGGTTCTTGTTTTTAAGATCTTCCACCTGTCATGGGAGGAAGGCAGGAAGGGGAATGGGTAGAAAAGCTGACACTCAGGCCCCTGTACTTTCAGATATCTGCTGGTGAGGAGGCAAATGTGAAGTGCTCTCTATGAGAACACAGGAAGGAGTGCCATGCTGGGTGGGTGGTTAGGGGCGTAAAGGCACTGTTGGGGGGGTGCTGACCTGCTGACGGAGCACATCATTGTCCAGCTGCAGCTGATCTAGCCCCTGGAGCTCCTCAGACAGCCGGTGGTTACTCTGCCGAAGCTCCTGGATATAATCACAGGCTTTGGACAGAATTCCACCTTTACTCTGCAAGACAAAAGCCCACAAAAAATGAGTACAACGTTTTTGGATGTCCAGTTTCCCCAAAACACAACCACATTTTGGACCTCATTCCTCCCCCCCCCACCGCCTGCCAAGAAAAATAGTGGTGTAACATCTGCCTCAGCAAAGGGACCCTCAAGGGCTGGGGATATAGCTGAGTGGCATAAGCACCTGCCTGGCAAGGGCGAGGTCCCAAGAACCCCAGTACCGCAGAAAGAAAGAAAGGAGAGGGAGAGAGGGGGAGGGAGAGAGAGGGAGAGAGGGAAAGAGGGGAAGGGAGAGGGAGGGAGAGGGATGGAGGGAGAGAGAGGGAGGAGGAGAGAGGAGGGACAGGGAAAGGGAGGGAGAGGGAGAAGGGGAGAAAGAGAGCAAGAGACAGCGAGCAAGAGCGAGGATCCTCAGAAAAGGGTACACAAAGACAACTGCCCTTTGTGGCCTGCTCTCTACCATGTTTGGAAAACCAGGAGACAGAATCCAGGCCTCCTGTCTACTACCAGGGTCTTTCCATGACCTGGCCAGACTTGGTACTCTCCATTGAGCAGTCCGGAATGATCTTGGACAGCTGTACAATCCAGTTGTTGATCTTGTCTCGGCGGCGGCGCTCCACTGTGGGCCAAAGAGTTGAACAAGGTGACTCGGTGAAAACTCAAGGTCCGGATCAGGTCTTCTCTCCTTAGTCATCATTGCGGCCCCCAGTCTCACCAGAGTTCCTGGCTTCACCCTGACTAGACCTACCTTCATTATGTTGAGCCCTGCGTTTCTCATCCCGAGTGGTCCTTGGAGCTTCTGACTTCCTGGCAACAGAGCACAACGGTGGCCAGAGTGAGGAAAGCATGAAGAATGGTTAGGGTCTTTGGTGAGGGATTATCCAAGATTTAGTGGGTAGGGTATTAACTGAGAAGACACAAGGGTCACTCACGGGGAGTAAGGGTGGGTCCTGGGGGCAATCGAGCGCTGGCTCCCTCCCTGCAATACTTCTTGTGGTGACATCATCACAAAGAACTGACCTGTGAAGATGCGGTAGGCTCTGTCAGGACTTGGGCCAGGGAACCCCACCAGCACCCTGGGGCCCTTCTCTGACAAGACTGCACTCCCTCCTGCTAGCAGCACAACCTCAGACTCACTGTCTGCCCAGCTCTAGTGATCACCACAGCCTGTCCTTGCCCTCTAGCTGGCACCCTCATGCCATAGCTCACCAGTGCCAGGAGGGGTAGACTGTCCCAGTAGTGCCTCCGAGCCCTGGGTAGTAACAACAGCAGCTGTACTCCCCGAAGTAGTACCCCCTGCCCCATCTCCCACTGCAGTGCTGGGGAAGTAGGTATAATGTGTCTCAGCAGCTGTCCCCTCTGTGTCAACGGCATCCTCACTGGTAAAAGCACCCTGGATCACTGCCTGGGAAGAAGAGTAAGAAAACAGAGTCCAGTCAGATACAATCTTCTGGCTGTACTTCTCTGCAGCTTCTGTCCCCTTTGGGAGGGCAGGAGAAATAGCCAGAAAGACAGCCTAGTGTCTTGGGTCAGCGCAGCCCAAGATGCCTCACTATACGTAGTTTTACCCCCATCCCATTGGTTCCCTTTTTCCTTATTGCTCTGCGCTCTGGCTCCCTCCACAGCCTATCCCCCTGTACCTGGGTCATAGATTGAGTGGCAGGATAGCCACTAATGGCTCCAGTGCCCTCAGTCTGGCCATCCAGCTGCCCCTCAGACACCTGGATCACCCTGTACATCACCTAGAAGCAGAGGGGAAGAAAGGAAGACAAGAGAGAGACAGATTCAGCCATATTCTCCCTTCTTTCCCCATATCATGGTTTCAGTTCACCCTTAGTCCACAGCAACTTCAACTCCAATCCTCCTGCAGTCCCCACCCCAACAGCCCACACCGTCTCCCATCGTCATCCTCCGCACCAGTCTCCCAAGACACATGCAGTTACCTCCCTCAACCCTAGCCCCAAGTAACATCTGCAGCCACCTGGCTCCCTCCCTTACCTGGCCCCCATTCTCAGTTCGGAAGACGTACTTGACGTTGGGATCAGGGAAGGTGGCAGCTGACTGGATACTAGCAATAGCCACACTGGTTGGGTCCTCCCCAGTAGCCACTGCACCTGAGTTAAAGAGCCAGTGAAGCCATGTGTGGTGGCAAACACCTGTAATCCCAGCACTCAGGAGGCTGAGGATTGCTGTGAGTTCAAAGCCAGCCTGGACTACTTGAGACTCTTCCCCCCCCCAAAAAAAAAAAAAAACCAGATGACTAGACAGATAGTTCAGCAGACTAAAGTGCCTTCTTAGGCAGTATGCAGCGGCCAGGGTTTGATCTCTGACGTGCTGTGCCGGCCCAGCCCCCAGGGCACGCTGAGACAGTGATTGAGACTGGGCATGGTGGCCCACGCCTGTAATCCCAGCACTTGGGAGGCTGAAAACAGGAGGATCACTACGAGTCTGATCTACATAGTGAGACCCTGTAGACCCTGTACTACATACATTAAAAAAAAAAAAAAAAAGCCAAGGAAAGGTCTGTGAGCTATAGGCCTCTCGTCTTCACGCTGTTCCACTTGCATGCTATTTAGAAGAAGCCAGGTGCATAGGCACCGGGCCAGTGGGGAGGGAAAGGATCCTTGATGGGTTCTTGGTCTCGGTCCTGTTTTTCTTGCTCTTTCTAGTTTTTTATTTGGTCAGCTGATTCTGAGGATTGAACTCAGAGCCTTCGCATGAGCTAAATACCCAGTCCTTTTTTACTTTGAGATAAGGTCTCATTAAGTCTTTAAGTTACTTAAGCTGAGTAAGAACTTGTCCTCCCGCCTCAGCCTCCCAGTGTTGAGATTACAGACCTATGATACCATACCTGGCTTTGGTCCCGGTCTCAATACTCACCTTCCTGGATCTGCACTGTCCCCTCTTCTGTTTCAGCTGTTTTCTGCTGCCTGTTTGTGGTAAAAGAATAAGAGTAAAAAAAAAAAAAAAAAAAAAAAGTCAATGAGAAACTCACAAGCCCAGTACCATATGGCTTCCAAACTCATTGGTATGAGACATTGGACTAGGTTAGAATAATAACTCCTGTCAACTAAGAGTTTACTAAGTACTCAGGCACTAAATTCAGCACTTAAATATACACTGCTGGGCGTGGTAGAGCGAGCCTGTAATCCCAGCTCTTGGGAGGCTGTAAACAGGCAAATCCACTATTAATCCAATCTAGTAGTGAGACCCTGAACACCGTGTAGACCCCTTTCTAAAAATACATAAATAAAAATACACTATCTTACAAAATACAAGAAATAGCCCCATAAGGTAGGTAACACTATTTCTGATTTATTCATAAAGAAAACAAATGATACAGCTGGTAAGTGATGGAGCTGGGACCTAAACTGAGCTGTGGAGCTGTCACTTTTAGCCACTTTGCATTCTCCCCAACACTCATCTCTCAGTCCAGGCCCTCTCT